TCTCAAATAAATAAATGAACTCAAGTTCTGGGTGGAGCAGGGGCCTGAGATCTAGGGAATGGAGTGCTCTCTTTTCTGCCTCTTCCCCAACAGGAACACCTCTTGTGCCCATAGATAAGATGCACCTTTCCGCCACTTCATGCTTCTCCACCAGTGCCTAGAGTCACTGGGCTGGTTAACCCGGCCTCTTCTCCTGCATTGTGTCAGCCAGTCCCTCATCTCTGAAATATTCCCTTCCCCTCGCAAACTGCGGCCAGCTGGCTCAGAGTTCTCACACATGCCTTTCAACCAAGCCCAGCTGCTAATCTCCTCTCCCTACCTAAAGGAGGGGTCAGAAAGTCAGGACAGAGTCTTTCTCTCTGAGCCCTGGTGCACCACCCTCCCCTCCACGGTTTCTCAGGAGCCTATGAGGCAAGTCAGGTGGCAGGTACCACTGGGCACCCCCTGTGCATCTCCAGGCCCTCAGCATGCTGAGAAAGACCTGAGAAAGCAGAGTCACTGACAGGCACCCCAGGGGGAAGCCGACATTCAGAAACAGGAAGAAAACACACTCTGTGGCCTTCCTTGGAAGCCAGTGACTGAGCACTTGAGTCTTGTGAAGGTGACTGTGTACAAGTGGGCGAGGGGGAGGGGATGCAGGCTGCCCTAGAGGAAGGCCAGCTTGGCCAGCTGCTCTGGCCTGGAACCCCTTCCTCCTCCCAAGCTCATCTAGGAATAATGGACTGGATTGGGTGTCTTGGGACATTCTTTTTTGCTTTAACTTTCTGTGAGTTCAAAAGGTATAGTCCTCTGAGACTCAGAAACCCCACTTCACCAGATTTTACCCATGTTTGATCACTTCAGGAAACAGGAGTTTTCTCTGTAGGAAGCCAGTACCCAAATTCTGCCTCAACATCAATGAATCAATCAAAGCCGACTGTTGGTAAGGAAGCCTGCAGTTCTCCCCTCCCCTGGCACACATCTTCCCACTTCTTCCTCTAGACTCAAAATTCCCACCACGGGAGAGCCAGAAGGGATGGGCTCAGAATGGATTTCTCCTTGTCACTGCCTTCCCGTGGCCCCACCTGTGCCCCTGATCTCCCTACCTCCGCTCAGTAATGATCTACAAAATCATGTCACTCCCTCACAACAGGGGCATTCTCCTCTTAGACACAGAGTCTCCCTGGGACTGAGTGACCAGCCTGGGGATCCCCTTGGGGCTCAGGCCCCCCCTTCCTGGCTAGCTTGCAGTAGGGGAGTGGGGGACAAGGCAAGAGTGGCTTCGGAATTAGGGAATCTGGTTGTTTAATCCTGGCCTGAATCCTCTGGGCTCCAAGGCTGGGGTTGGGTCCTGAGCTCCTCAAAATAGGATAAAGGGAGGGCAGAGTGGGGCAATGATGGAGCCAGGTGACCTTGGGATTATCTGGGTTATAAAGTGTACCTTTGGTCAGCAGCAGGGGAGGGGACAGTCCTCCTTCCTGTGTACCTTCTCCCTGTGCCCCCATCCAAGGCTTCCTTACCCTTTCCCTGCCTGGGGACTTTGAGCACGGTGGAGATAAAGCCCTGCAGCTGAGCACTAGCCCAACACTGAGCGTGAGCTAGCAGGGCACATCCAGAGAGAGCCTAGGACAGAAATTCCTCCCTGCTCCAAAATGGCCATCTTGATTGTTCTCTGAGCTCTGAGGGATCCCAACCCCATGTCAAGAGAAAAGTAAGGAGTTCCAGGCTGCTTTATCCTCTCAAGCTTTCCAGCCTATTTCACCCACTCTGTCCCCCCAAGGAGAGTGGAGTAAGGCCCACCAATGAATATTCCATTCATTCCTCATGCCACAAGGCACAGGTTATCCACACGGCGAGGGGGCGGGGCTGAGGCTCTTCAGTAAAGCTCCCACCCCAGCCCCACCCTCAGTCCTGGGTCAGAATAAAACCTCTAGCTCCTGCTCATCTGGTTGGTCAGCCACCTTACCCTGCTTGGTGGGTGACTTCTGGGGACTAGAGGCAGCAACCTTTCTCGCCCCAGGCCCACTTAGGCACAGGGGGCGAGAAGGCCACAGGGAAGAGACCACCACCCCTGACCTCCAGCTTCCCCTTTCCTCGGGCCAATACCCTGAGCAGACGCGAGGGGCGGGAGGGGAGATGCCGGGGTCGGAGAATTGTAACTCGAGCAGGTGTTGTCAGGGGAAACCGCTCCTTCGAAGACGAGACGTGGGCGAAGGGGAAAGCCTGCCTCAAGGGATCCGAGAGGCCGCCCCGACTAGAGCAAAGGGCCCTGGCCTGGCGGGCAAGTGAGCCCGACCCCGCGGAAACGACCCGCCCGCGGCGTCCCCGCCCCCGGCCCGGCCTGGCCTCACCTCGATGTTGCCCACGGTGCGGGCACAGCCCACCACCTTCAGTCCCTGCTGGACCAGGGCCCGGGCCACGGCCGCGCCAATGCCCACTGAAGCTCCCGTCACCAGCGCCAGCCGGTCGCGCCACCGCTCCATGCCGGGTCTGGCCATGAGCCCGCGCCGCCCGCTCGCCTCGCTGGGCAACCCCGGCACCGGGGTCAAGGAACTGACACCCGGCCGCTTTCCGGCTGCCGCAGCGGACCTGCTCACGTTCGACTTGCGCCGCTAACCACCAGCGTCCCAGCTTGCCTCTGGCTGGGACTCCACCCTCAGGCCTTCGGCGACCCGCCGCATCCAGTCGGAGGCCGCCGCGGCCCGGCCGCCCCACCCACTGCAGGAGGTCCCCGCCCCTTCCGCCCTTTCGCCCTTCCCCCCCCTGGGCCCCCCCGCGCCCGGTCCCGGAGCTAGGAAACCCGGCTGCGCTGGAGCTTCCGGGTAGCTGGCGGCGCCGGTTCACCCGAGAGCGCTTCTCTTAGGGTGCAGGAAAACCGAGGTTTAGCGGGGGCTTCCTCCAGCCGCGAGGGCGCATACTCAAGAATCCCGCTTAGTCTCCGTTCCCTACTCCTGAACCCTAATGCCAGGATGAGGAATTAAGGGTACTTAAGGTGACTCCAACACCCTCCCAAACCCGTCGGTGACTTTTGAAAAGGGATTCGGCCCACAAAACGCCTAGTGTCTTCGCCACCAACGCTGGGTGACCTTGGGAAGGACTCTTGCTCACCCTGCCTGATCTCTTGGCTTTACTAGGCAGAGAACTGAAACCCTCCCAAGTACACGTGTACTGGGGGATTATGTCCCTAAATGTCCCACTGTGTCCAACTGCCCTAGACACCCCCCCCACGCTCACCCCTCCCCCACTGTAGCAAATGTATCATGATATATTCCAAAGATTAAAACAGTAGTTAACATTCCTTGCTTATGGTACATGTAGCAGGCACTTTAAATATAGTAACTAATCTGCACAACCGCTCTTAGCACATTCTAGTTTTTTTTTGTTTTTTTTTTTTTTTTGAGACGGAGTTTCGCTCTTGTTACCCAGGCTGGAGTGCAATGGCACCATCTCGGCTCACTGCAACCTCCGCCGCCTGGGTTCAAGCAATTCTCCTGCCTCAACCTCCCGACTAGCTGGGACTACAGGCGTGCGCCACCACGCCCATCTAATTTTTTTTTTTTTTTTTTGTATTTTTAGTAGAGACGGGGTTTCACCATGTTGACCAGGATGATCTCAATCTCTTGACTTCGTGATCCACCCGTCTCGGCCTCCCAAAGTGCTGGGATTATTGGTGTGAGCCACTGCGCCCGGCCATACTAGTGCAGTATCTTAAAGATGAGTATACTGATGTGCTGAAGCATGGTTTGGACCACAGGCAGTCCAGTTTTAGGCCAGTGATGTGCTTCTAAACAGTCTTCACACCATTATCGCTTCTTGGGTTGTTGGTCTTGTTCAGAGTAGAGCTCACTTTGCTAAAAAGTGCTGAAAACTGTGTAATATAGCCATTCTCTTTAAGAAAAAGCATCTTTGAATAAACCTGACTCCTGCCCAACAATGGAGTAAGCAGTGAATGTGGCTGGTTTATTCATTCAGAAACATTCATTTGCCTATTCTGTGTTTGGCCCCAATGGCACAGATTAAAACTAAACTAAATCAGCCTTTGCTTTTAGGGATCTCAAAAGACCATCTGACTGTAACGGTGAAGACGGGATTCGCCTCTGAGCCAAGGGCTATGGAAGACCCACAGTCATTTTTTATAGATTCTGGATGAAATGAAAAAGGGTCTGAGAGGAGTCCTTTTACCTCTGCCCATTCCTACACAACATTTAGGTTTGAAAGACAACTCAGGTGCTGGATCCAAGAAATGGCACAGACTATAAAAATTCAATCCAAGCTTCTGCTGCTGCTCGCTTGAAATCTAACTAAACAGCACATAAAATTCACTCCACCTCCATTGCACAGGATTGTCCCACGATTTGTATGCTGCCACCAAGTATTATAAACATGTAGACACAAATCTTGAAGCATCATGTGTCTATTGAGCTATTTGACTCAATCTTTTAAATAGCAGCAAAATGCTACTCCTGGGGCGGGGGGAACTCTCTCCTTCAGTGCCAACAGCTGTGACAGCAGTAAAGTGTAAGACCACAGTGACTTTGTTACTGGACATCAGATAAGGCTGAGCCTCACATACACTTAGCCCATAATGTGGTTAGCTCTCAGTGCAGCCTTCTGATCCCAGTCTTACATGTTGAGCAAATTACTTATCGGGTAGCCACTGGTTGAAATTCTGTCAAGTTTTGTTTTTACTCTTCTAGGTCAATATGAACCTCTGAATTTAAGAAGTACTTTGTGTATGTATTAGGGAACTTTATGTATTAAGCAATTAAAAGTCTCATGGGAAAGTAATGTTCTAGCAAGTATTGAAAGGTATTGCAGCAAATTTATCTCTTCAAACAAAAAAGACTGGAAACTGCTTTACTCGGTTGTCAATTCTCATCAAAGGAAGAATTTTGTCTTCAACAATCTGTATCTCTGTCTCATCCTTTTCCTACCATCAACACTAGCCAACCAAGCACCAAGTCGACAAGTGGCAAATACTAAAGTACTGCCACACATCAAGTAGAAACATGTACACCAAATTTTACTGTGCATATTAATAAATATTCTTTATTTTAAATTTTGCACATTGCGCTTTAACATTACATCCAAACATTTCGCAAGTGGATGTCTACTTTGTAAAACCATATATTCAGCTCATTGTCATTTCTGTACAGAATTATAAGTACAACATTACTTTTTGCCACTAAGTTGCTTTAGTAAGTCTCACAGGAAGAGAAACATTTAATGAAAAGAGATGGCTTAAATCATATGGCAGGCCTGTGCAGCCACGCAACTAAAGACACAAGCCTGAAGAAAGAACAAACTAATGAGGATACCTCCACCGTCTCCCAAAACAAGAAAGAATCACATTTAAGATAAAATTTTGCCGTTTAAGTCACTAAATTAAGAGTTTTTCAAAAGAGAAGGCGCAGTAGTCATCATGAGTGTTTCATTGAAAGACAGAGCTATTTTATTTATTTAATTTGCTCCAGCTGTTGTCAACCAGCCACTACAAATGGGCCTCTTGTGATCATTTAAGCGGCAGTATTTATTAAATTTCTCCTTCAGATGCTGTCGGTATTGTTCTCTATTGCTGTAGAAAGACTGGTTATTAGCCATAAATGACTGTATTTCATCTTGTGAGATAAAGATTTCCTCATCTGAAGTACATTCAGACTCATCCTGTAAATTAAAGCAGTGGTTAAGACTATGACTTAAGAATGCAAAATGCTATGTGATGGAGGCGGACAGCTAAAAATTAAAGTAGTCTAGCTTTTTAGTTTCAGTTCAGTCACATAAAGCCTTTAAGTGGAGTGTTTGCAGAATAAGCATCATGTCATTTGTCTAACAAAGTACCTGGAATCTATAATTTCTCCTAGAAGCCTATGAGCCTAGCAAACTACCATCATACCTTGGCCTTAAAAAAATAAAGATGTTACAACTAGTTACACCACATTTTAAGTAGCTAGACTTATCTCTAGCTAGCCCTACCATGAAACATCCATCTCTAATAAACATTTACAAACTAAGTAAAAGACAACCATTTTTAACTTAAGAAATAAGTTACACAGCATCACCATTAAACTTTTACAACCATTAAAACTTTTTAAACATTAAACTTATACTGGCAGTGGCTCACACCTGTAATCCCAGCACTTTGGGAGGCTGAGGCATGAGAATCACTTGACCCCCGGAGACAGAGGCCGCAGTGAGCCAAGACTGCACCACTGCAGTCTAGCCTGGGCGACAGAGCGAGATTCCTCAAAAATAAAAAACTAGTATTCCAAAGGATTTGGTGTCATCAGGACTCTAATGGAAAAAACACCACTCTTCTCCCTTTTCCCCTCCTCCAATGGCTACCTACACTATGCACTGGATCAGTTGGAAACAGGTAAAATGTCTCAGGAATTGGAGTCTTATCCTACATGACACCTAAAAGAAAGCATAGTATATGCTAGTTCAGAAAGTATATTCTTTCTGGTCTGGAAGGGTGGCTACCATAAATTGCCAATCAGAAAGGCCAGGTTTGCTTATAGTAACCTGCTTCAAAGAGGCAGACTGCTGAACAAAATGCTACCTCTATCTTTTCTCCCAACTACAGACAGTCCTCACTTAAAATGGTTGCACTCGGAATTTTTTTTTTACTTTACACTGGGTTTATTGGGGTGAATGTATTTTAAACTCAGCAATATTTATGAGTTATAATGGGTTTACTGGAATGTAACCCCAACTGTAACTCAAGGAGTTCCTGTAACATTTTCTACTGAGAAAGAGGCGGCCATGAAAACGTGTTCCAGAGTAGTTGTATAAACCATAAGTGGGGCCAGGCGCGGTGGCTCAAGCCTGTAATCCCAGCACTTTGGGAGGCCGAGGCGGGTGGATCACGAGGTCAAGAGATCAAGACCATCCTGGTCAACATGGTGAAACCCCGTCTCTACTAAAAAAATACAAAAAATTAGCTGGGCATGGTGGCACGTGCCTGTAATCCCAGCTACTAAGGAGGCTGAGGCAGGAGAATTGCCTGAACCCAGGAGGCGGAGGTTGCGGTGAGCCGAGATCGCGCCATTGCACTCCAGCCTGGGTAACAAGAGCGAAACTCCGCCTCAAAAAAAAAAAAAAAAAAAAAACCATAAGTGGAAGGGCAGAAATGAAGTCCCCAAAGAATAAGGAAACACTATGCTTAATTTCCTTTTTTTTTTTTTTTTTTTTTGAGACAGAGTCTTGTTCTGTTGCCAGGCTGGAGTGCAGTAGTGCAATCTTGGCTCACTGCAACCTACACATCTCAGGTTGAAGAGATTCTCCTGCCTCAGCCTCCCAAGTAGCTGGGACTATAGGCATGCCACCATGCTTGGCTAATTTTTTATTTTTAGTAGAGATAGGGTTTCACCATATTGGCCAGGCTGGTCTCCATCCCTTGTGATCTGCCTGCCTCAGCCTCCCAAAGTGATGGGATTACAGGTATGAGACACTAAGCCTGGCCCCCTTAATTTCTTAAAAGCTTCCTTCCACTACCTACCTTAAGCCCTCAAATACTATTCCCTCCCACATTCACCCCATTCCTGAACAATGATGTACAATAAGACCTCATGGAATACTTACAAGGAGTTCAACTAAGCTCTTGGCACCTTTTCCGGAATCGGGACCAAACAATGTTTCTGTAGATTCTGCAAGCTGTGGTACATTTTTTCTATGCTCAAACCAAGGCAGTGGCTGCCCACCCTTTTCAGAGCTGCAACAGCTTTCAGGATGTGCATCTTTGGTCTTGTCACGGTGAAACACTGTGTGCATGGTATTTCCTGAGGTCTCTCGATTACCTGGATCTGTAATACAGCTTCCAAGCTTCTGGATCTGATACCACAGCAAAAGATTTCACAGGTTAAAAGGCATGAAATAATAGCAGTTATTCTTTTTTGGAGACCAAGTTTTGCTTTTATTGCCCAGGCTGGAGTTGCCAGGCTCACTGCAACCTCTGCCTCCCAGGTTCAAGCAATTATCCTGCCTCAGCCTCTCGAGTAGCTGGGATTACAGGCATGCGCCACCACACCCAGCTAATTTTTTGTATTTTTAGTAGTGATGGGGTTTCTCCATGTTGGTCAGGCTGGTCTCAAACTCCTGAACTCAGGTGATTAGCCCACCTTGGCCTCCCAAAGTGCTGGAATTACAGGCATGAACCACCACACCCGGTCAGCCGTTATTTAAAAAAAAAAAAAAAAAAAAGCCATACGAGGTAGCTCACTCCTGTAATCCCAGCACTTTGGGAGGCTGAGGCGGACGAATCACCTGGGTTCAGGAGCTTGAGACCAGCCTGACCAACATGGTGAAACCCCGTCTCTACTAAAAACACAAAAATTAGCCAGCGATGGTGGCTTGCGCCTCTAATCCCAGCTACTCGGGAAGCTGAGGCAGGAGAATCGCTTGAACCTGGGAGGCAGAAGTTGCAGTGAGCCAAGATTACACCACTGCACTCTAGCATGGGCGACAGAGTAAGACTTCATCTAAAAAAATAAAAAAAGAAAATAAAAAAATCCTGACATTGTATTAAACCTTTAGAAGGAATACTGAGTAATAGCAGTAGCTGGCATTCATTTATTAGGCAGTTACTACGCACTAGACACTATGCTGCACCTGCCAATATACACTCACTTCACCTTCATAGAATTTAATATGATAGGGACTAAACCAATTGTTTTAAGATCACATAGCTTACAAATTTAAAAGAATAAAAAGAAGTGAATTTATGACTCACAAGGACTGTTGGACAAACAACCACATCTCTCTCTCCCCACAACACACACTCTCACAAGATAAGCAACCAATGGAACTGCATAAAGTACTCATTCTAAAAAAAGTAAATCCTAGCAGCTAAGCTGCACATATGCCACTCCAAGGAACACGCGTGTTCTCTCAAGAGCAAAGGTTTAAGAATTACAAGTTGCAACACTTACATGTTCATCACATTTCAACGTCTTGCTTTTCTTTTTCTTCTTTTTATTTTTTCCTTTTGTGTTGTTCTCTTCAGAATTTGCCCAACATTCAACACAACTATCACCATCATCCTCTTTGTCTTCACAGTGATGAACACAGGAGTCATCACCTGCAGAAATCAATAATCCTTACTTATGCTCTTAAGTCAGCCATATAGTAGAAATAACCGGGAAACTTAATGTGAGCCTACCGTGTTCATCATGATTACAAATGCCTTCAGTGCAGGCAACATCCGAACCCTCCCGAGAACCTGTTTCACTCCCTTCCATGCTAGATGAATATCCACAATCACTACCATTACAGTGTGGAGATAAGCCTGAGAATAAATCAAATGAGAGTTACAATTAACATACCAATAAGCCTATTAGGACAAAGAGTGAACCCACTGGGGACCACAGAAAAATCTCATAATCAATGGTTTATTTAAAGTAGAACATTTCCAATGAAGGATTTTTTTTTAAGTAGAAAGCAAATTAAATAACGAAAATATGATTAGGAATTTACCATTTTTTTTGGTTTTGTCAAAAAAAATACGTCAAAGAACATAAAGAAAAAGGAAACATTAAGTATCTGACTAAATTATATTAAACTCCTGGAGCTATAAAGCAGTTTTAAATTTCTAGCTCACAGAATCTCTAAAAGCTCTTACATTTAACAGTAAGAAAAAACAGAGGAGTTAAAAGTTGATTTTAAAAAGAAATTATTTACTTACCTTTCTTTATTTTAGGGGACCCCAAAAGATTGCCACTGCTAGGACAGGTACATGACGTATTTTCATTGGTAACAATTACTTCTACACAAGTATTACCATCTTCAGTGCTGCCACAGGCTTTGCAGCTGCTATTTTCTATGAAGTCTGTTTCCTTTAAGGATCAACATTAAGAAACAGTAAAAAGCTTTACTCCATAACAGCTACACTTTATTCCCTAGGTCAAAACTATTTTCATCATAATACTAAGATAGTATGGCATTTTCACTGTACTGACACTTTCATAATACTAAGATATTAAGGCATTTTCACTGTACTGACACTTACACTGACAGTAAAAAAGCAATGGTGGGTAAAGGTTTTAGTCCTTAGCACAAATCAAGACAGTGGCAACCAAAATGTACTAAGAGTCACTGTATTCTTTAATTGTCAGGCACTCACACGACAACAGATATTTCACTTATGAATGTCTTTCAGGAATCTGCAAAAATATTAATTGTATTAGAAATCAACCATGAATACATACACTTTTTCCTTTTTTTTTTTTTGTGTGTAGGGTCTCCCTCTGTCACCTAGGCTAGAATACAGTGGTACAATCATGGCTTACTGCTGCCTCAAACTCCTGGGCTCAAGCAATCCTCCTGCCTCCACTTCTGAAGTAACTAGGACTACAGGAGCGTGCCACAACACCTAATTTTTGTATTCCTTTGTAAAGATGGGGTTTCGTTATGTTGCCCAGGCTAGTCTTGAATTCCTGACCTCAAGCAATCCATCTGCCACAGCTTCCCAAAAGTGCTAGAATTACAGGCATGAGCCACCACATCCTGCCAACAGAAATCTTTTTAATAGTCTATGTGATAAACGGGAAGTATGCTTAAAGCACTTCTGTTGCAGCTGTCTCAAGGAAACATACTTGTGCAACTTTTTGAATTGCAAGCTGAAGTTTTTTTCCTGGAACATCAAGTTCACTTGAAAGAACGAGAGACAAACTATGGTTATTCAGACTTGGATATTTAGCAGGCATTTTCTCAAAAATGAATGAAGTCAGTTAATTCAAGGGAAACAATAACTGTTATCAATGATAAAATTCAAACTTTGAAACAACAATCAGAATTTTGGCCTTGCAACCAACAGTACTATGAACTTGAAGCTTCCTAATACTTGGACTTTTCTGACCTGCATAACTCAGTGAACCAGTATCTTTGAAATAAAATTCCAATGCATGATGTTACGAAAACAATGCATGAGTAAAAGCTATTCAAAGTCCAATATAGTCCAATGGATTCTAATTTAACAGAGTACAGAAGGTCATTGATAAGATGTGAGATTCCACACTGCAATCAATCTTTTAGAAGCTACCACTGGTCAAAGTGTAGAATCGAAGAATATCCACAACTAGCTGAAAAGGTTTATACTAAAATACTGTTCCCAGCCAGGTGCAGTGGCTCACTCCTGTAATCCTAGCACTTTGAGAGGCTGAAGTAGGCAGACTGCCTAAGCTCAGGAGCTCGAAACCAGCCTGGGCAACATGGCAAAACCCATCTCTACTATAAATACAAAAAAAATTAGCCAACTATGTTGGTAGGCGCCTGTAGTCCCTGCTACTCAGGAGGCTGAGGGAGGAGAATTGCCTGAATCCAGAAGGCGGAGGTTGCAGTGAGCCAAGATCATGCCATTGCAATCCAGCATAGATGACAGACTCTGTCTCCAAAATAAAATAAAATAATACTGCTCCCTTTTCCTACCATATATATATATCTGTGTGACTAGACTTTCTTCCTATGCTTCAACCAAACCAATAAATGGAAATAGATTTAATGCAGAAGCAGATACAAGAATCTAGCTTAGGCCAGGTACAGTGGCTCACACCTGTAATCCCAGCACTTTGGGAGGCCGGGGAAGGAGGATCACAGTCAGGAGTTTGAGACCATCCAGGCCAACAGAGTAAAACTTCGTCTCTAATTTAAAAAAAAAAAAAAGAGAGAGAGAGAGAGAGAGACAGGGATCTCATTATGTTGCCCAGGCTGGTCTCAAACTCCTGGGCTCCTCCAGCCTGGGCCTCCCAAAGTGCTGGGAATATAGGCATGAGCCACCATAACTAGCCTGTACTTCTATCTAAAAGCAATATCAACACACTTAAGAGCTGATATTTGGCCAGGCGCTGTGGCTCACGCCTGTAATCCTAGCACTTTGGGAGGCTGAGGTGGGTGGATCACCTGAGGTCAGGAGTTAAGACCAGCCTAGCCATCATGGTGAAACCCCATCTTAAACAAAAAAAAAGAGTTGATATTGGCCAGGCGCAGTGGCTCACACCTATAATCCCAGCACCTCGGGAAGCCAAGGCGGGGCAGATCACGTGAGGTCGGGAGCTCGGGACCAGCCTGATCAACATGGAGAAACCCTGTAATTACTAAAAATAAAAAATTAGCCGGGCGTGGTAGCACCTGCCTGTAATCCCAGCTACTCAGGAGGCTGAGGCAGGAGAATCACTTGAACCCGGGAGGCGGAGGTTGTGGTGAGCCGAGATTGCACCACTGCACTCCAGACTGGGCAACAAGAGCAAAACTCTGTCTCAAAAAAGACTTGATATTAAGAAATATTACCTTCTCTTGGCTTACTTCCTTTTCTTCTGCTGTTTGTAAGGGAGTAGGAATATCACACACACACTTATTTTTTCGTCTATTCTTCCGTTTTTGGCGTTTCTTTTCTTGCTTGAGTTCTCTTACTCGTTCCTCTTCTGAAAATTCCTCACAAAGTTGTTCCAATCTGCTAATACCCTGTACTTTTTCCACGGTCATCTATTATAAAAACAAGGTTGAGGGTATTGGTCAGAACTTCTTTTGTTTTCTATGGTAATACACACACTCCTATTCCAAACCAGCAACATTCTAGTTTTAAATTTCAGACTTTTTATTTTTTTTGAGACAGTCTTGCTGTGTCGCCCAGGTTGGAGTGCAATGGCACTGTCTCAGCTCACTGCAACCTCCACCACCTGGGTTCAAGCCATTTTCCTGCCTCAGCCTCCTGAGTAGGTAGGACCACAGATGCGTGCCACCACACCGGTTGATTTTTGTATTTTTAGTAGAGATAGGGTTTTGCCATGATGACCAAGCTAATCCTGAACTCCTGGCCTCAAGTGATCCACCTGCCTTGGCCTCCCAAAATGCTGGGATTATAGGTGTGAGCCACCATAACTGGCCTAAATTTCAGAATTTTAATACAGCAAAAGTAAACATACCATTTCCTCACATAATGAAAAAACTATTTAACCTGATTACATGATCTAATCTCTGAAGGCACAAAAATACAAAGAGAAAAAGATTAAGGGCTGGACATAGTGGCTCACACCTACAATCCCAGCACTTTGGGAGGCCGAGGCAGGAGGATCACGAGGTCAGGAGTTTGAGACGGGCCTGACCAACATGGTAAAACACCATCTCTACTAAAAATACAAAAATCAGCCAGGCGTGGTGGGGTGCACCTGTAATCTCAGCTACTCAGGAGACTGAGGAAGGAGAATTGCTTGAACCCAGGAGATGGAAGTTGCAGTGAGCCGAGATCGCGCAGGTGCACTCCAGCCTGGGAGACAGAGCAAGACTATCAAAAAAAAAAGAGAATAAGTGTGTTCACCAACTACTACAAACTTCCTCACACTCTTCAGAACCAGGTACTTAAAGTTCATCGATGGACTTCTAGAATTCTGGAATTTATAGATTTCATCCTATTCTCATGTGGGACCAACAACTCAGTTAAAGGGTTACAACTGCGCTCTAGTATATACAAAATATTTACTAGCCAAATATGTATGTTCTATAGATTATTTTTTTAAAAAGCTACCAATTTACAAGAACTAAACCCAATACTTGCATTACAAAGTACCCTCCGTGTGCTTCTAAAAATTAATTCTTATATTATGGCATTCACACAGCATTTACTTCATTCTATTGCACATTAGTAGGCAAAATGTAACTTATCAAAGGTTTTTAAGTTTCTTCATTTTTGGCTGCATTTAACTTTTCACTAGTTGTGTTTCTTTGAGATGGAGTTTTGCTCTTGTTGCCCAGGCTAGAGTGCAATGGCGTGATCTTGGCTCACTGCAACCTCTGCCTCGCGGGTTCAAGCGATTCTCCTGTCTCAGCCTCCCAAGTGGCAGGGACTACAGGCACATGCCACCATGCCTGGCTAATTTTTATATTTTTAGTAGAGACAGTCTTGAACTCCTGACCTCGGGTGATTTGCCTGCCTCGGCCTCCCAAAGTGCTGGGATTATAGACATGAGCCACCACGCCCAGCCTCACTAGTTATGTTTCATAGCAGCATCTTGTTAGTCATCTTCAGTTTTCCACTATATGAGAACATCTAAAAATCAAGGCTGGCCAAGTAGCAGGCTTAAAAAATTTTTGGCCAAGCACAGTGGCTCACACCTGTAATACACTTTGGGAAGCCGAGATGGGCAAATCACGAGGTCAAAAGATTGAGACTATCCTGGCCAACATGATGAAACCCCATGTCTACTAAAAATACAAAAACATTAGCTGGGTGTGGTGGCGTGCACCTGCAGTCCTAGCTACTTGTGAGGTTGAGGTAGCAGTGAGCCAAGATCACCTGACTGCACTCCAGCCTGGTGACAGAACAAGACTCCGTCGCAAAAAAAAAAAAAATTTTTTTTTTAATCCAGCAACTTCTTCTAAATCCCAGTTCCCCAGATCACCCCCCTGCTCCAACCCAAAGCCATGTAACAATATCCAGCCAAAGCCATCAAACTCTATCAGTGATGGATCACAGCCCTTTGAGGCGCTGGTGGCTTACATTAAGATTCAGTCCAATAACGTGACTAAGCAATCTCAGACACTGTTCTTACCTCAAAACTCTTGCGTAAAGCATCAACACCAAGATAGAAAAGCATCTGCCATGTCTGCTCTTCTGCCCGGAGTTTTTGCCAGATTCGATGCAGTCTTTCATAAAGATGAATTCCCAAGCAGGTCAGAACTTCTTCTTGAGCTATATCTATTGTCTTTGCATGCCTTTCTCTTCGTCTATAAGAGAATAATCACACATTAATTCCTAGTACCTTTAAATGAAGCAGTAAAAGATGGATAACACAGCTACAAGTTTAGGCTTTAAACACAATTTGCTTATCTAATAACAAGACAGTTATATGTTTACACTCACTGTATATGTAAATACACAGGCACGCATGTCTACAACCAATGAGAAATACACATGCAAGTACAACTTGGTCCTCGTATTGCTAAAAATAAGGTAATTCAGGAACTGCCTCTAAAGAGATGGGTTTAAGGCACAGGGCAATCACATAGAAGTGTCCAGCTCATAGCAGACATAATAGTTCCTTTCACTTTCCAATTACAGAAAAACATTTTTTCCTTCATTTGGTTTTTTGTTTTGAGGGGGAATGGAGAAAGGCAATGCCAAAGTGATTCAATCGTGGGCAAGAATCCTCCAGGCCAGTCTTTACAAGTGTTCACAGAACACTGGTGATAAAAAAAAGGCCTCTGTATTCTAAAATGCCTAGCAGAAAGTAGGCACTCAAATGAGGATTGATATCCTAAAAATAAAAGGAAATGGATTTGACTTATTCTATGAACATCATCTGATTTTATTTTTACAACAAAGTCAGAGATAAAACTTTAGGTTTCTATATAGTAACAATAATATAATATACACAGTTCATGAATTACATTCAATAAGGCATCTCTTAACCCCCTACTGCAAAGATCTCACTTATGCAGAAACCATTATTGTGAATAAAATTTACACACAATAATGCATGGATAGAGAAAAATCCCTTCTAATCATTTTCAAGTGAAAATGATGTCTGTAACAATGAAAGCAAAAAAGCCTGCCTCCCTTCAAGCAAGAAGTAGCAGAGGACTGAACCAAACACCAGGGAACAATTTTTCCCTATTTTCAGTCAATTAAAAAATACATACTTTAGGGCTGGGTGTGGTGGCTCACACCTGTAATCCCAGTACTTTCGGAGGCCGAGGTGGACAGATCATGAGGTCAGGAGATCGTGACCATCCTGGCTAACACAGTGAAACCTTGTCTCTACTAAAAATACAAAAAATTAGCCAGGCATGGTGGCAGCCGCCTATAGTCCCAACCACTCAGGAGGCTGAGGCAGGAGAATCGCTTGAACCCGGGAGGTGGAGATTGCAGTAGGCCGAGATCACACCACTGCACTCCAGCCTGGACGACAGAGCGAGACTCCATCTCAAAAAAATAAAAAGAGGAAAAAAATGCACACTTTAAAGAGAAACAAAATCTTTACAGGCATACCTTAATTTATACATACATCATACGTACTGAGGCAGAAGGTGATGAAAATAAATTTTCAGTAATAAAATGAAGCAAAGCGCTAGATAGCCCATTCTAGCAAATTACATACTCATACCCTCCTGCGAACTCTGGCTCAGCACGACCCAAAAGGTGAGCAATGAAGTCTGTTTCACAGCAAACATGTATGTGTCGTTCATGTGGACAGCACCGCAAGCCTTCATAAAGTGCAGCACAGTAGCCCTTTTCTTTGCTGCAATCAAGTTCACCAATAAGGATGTTGTATGCTCGGAGAACTTTATTTTTGCAATCAGTGCAAAACCTGTTAAAAAGAAAAGCCTCAAAATTAAGAACTGGCTGTGCAATTATTTCATGTGGCATTTAACAGTGTACTAGATGATAGCACTCTCTCCCATCTACAGTATTTTTGTTTGTTTGTTTGTTTTTTACGAGCTAGCTGAGATTTTATTTTGGACCAAAAAAAAAAAAAAAAAAAGCCAATTGAATTGTTTTGCAGCTGGAGGCATGGGCAAGGGAGGTCCCCAGGCAGTAAACTCCCCGCAGGTGGGCTGAGGGCTAGGGCTGAGCGTGGGGTGGGTCTCCCGTTCCCTGTGCTCCCCTGCACAGCAACCTCCCTCCCGGGCTCTGGGGCAGCCTCAGGAGGGGCAGGCTGGGAGGGGCTGTTGCAGCTGCTCACTTGGGCAGGACATCAGAGGACTCAGACACCAGCCTCCCATCGCGGGTCTCAATCTTCTTCACAACCACGGCCTTGATGGAGCTGGTGCGGCTGAAGGTGGAGCCTGCGCCAGAGCCAAAGCTGGAGCCCAGGCCGTAGCTGAGGCCGGGGCTTGTGAGGCCCCCATAGGCAGAGCTCAGACCACCTGCATAGCTGCTGATGGTCTTCGTGTGGATACTCATGATCTGCATCCCAGACTCCAGCCGGCTCTCCTCGCCCTCCAGTAGCTTGCGGTAGGTGGCGATCTCGATGTCCAGGGCCAGTTTGACATTCATCAGCTCCTGGTAGTCACGCAGCTGCTGTGCCATGTCCTGCTTGGCCTTCTGCAGGGCTTCCCCAGCTGCTGCTGCTTGGCACGAGCATCCTTGAGTGCCTGCTCCCTGTGATGCTCCGCATCTAAAATGGCGGCCTCCAGAGAAGCCCTCTGGCCTTTGAGGCCCTCGATCTCGGCCTGGAGCCGGCTGATGTTCCAGTTCATCTTGGAGATCTCAGTCGTCGTACGCCACAAGTCATCCCCGTGCTTCCCAGCCAGCTTCTGCAGCTCCTCATACTTGATCTGGTATACGCTCTCTGCCTCAGCCCGGCTGCGATTGGCAATCTGCTCGTACTGCGCCTTGACCTCAGCGATGATGCTATTCATGTCCAGGGAGCGGCTGTTGTCCATGGACAGCACCACAGACATGTCGGAGATCTGGGACTGCAGCTCCCGGATCTCCTCTTCATACAGCTGCCTGAGGAAGTTGATCTCGTCAGTCAGTCCTTCCAGGCGAGACTCCAGCTCTACCTTGTTCATGTAAGCTTCATCCACATCCTTCTTGATGAGGACAAATTCATTCTCCATCTCTGTACGCTTATTGATCTCTTCCTCATACTTGTTCTTGAAGTCCTCCACCAGCCCCTGCATGTTGCCAAGCTCTGCCTCCAGCTTCAGCTTCTCCTGGCCCAGAGTCTCCAGCTGCCGCCTCAGGTTGTTGATGGAGCTCTCAAACATGTTGTCCATGTTGCCCCGAGCCATTTTCTGCTGCTGCAGGAGGCTCCACTTGGTCTCCAGCATCTTGTTCTGCTGCTCCAGGAACCGCACCTTGTCGATGAAGGAAGCAAACTTCTTGTTGAGGGTCTTGATCTGCTCCTTCTCCTGGGTACGCACGGCCTGGATGTTGGGGTCCATGTCCAGCTTAATGGGATTCAGCAGGTGATGATTGATGGTGACGGCGGTGATGCCTCCCATGCCTATGCCGCTGGCCCCCGCATAGACTGCACCCAGGCCACCACGGAAGCCAGTGCTGCTCACTCGGGAGAAGCTCGAGGAGCTTGAGCGGGCACTGGGCCCACTCGTGAAGGAGTGGCTGCTGAAGGCCGGGGGCCAGAGGTGGACACCCTGTAGGACTTCTGGGTCACCCTGATGGACATGGTGGAGGCAGGCGGGCTGAACCAGGGAGAGATTCCAGAAGGAGCAGAGAAGCTGCTGCTTCTACAGTATTTTTTTTTAAACCTCCATACACACATTTAAAACACATGAATGTTAAGGTAAATAAAAACTTAGGGTTTACATGAATTCAGACAGATCTTCATTTGCCAATGATTTTTTTAACTAGATAAACACATGGCCTAAAACAATGAGGCAGATACATACCTATTATTTCATAAAATGCATGCCCAGAAAGTATCAGTTGCCAAGAACTAGCATATCTCTACTTCAAAAGCTGTATGCACAGGTCAGAAATAAAACAACAGAGGCAACAAACCAATGATTCTTGATTGTTTGTTCTCTCTCCTTCCATCTGAAAATAGATGGTCTCTTCAGCCAGTAGACCTTGACTCCAATTTCTATTACAACATTTTAATATTTCACTAGCTAAGCATTTGAGGACAGGGTTAGGGGTTGAGGGGGGGAGAAGAATGGGAAAGTGGTGCATGTATTTTTTAATTTACTGATTATTTCCAAAATGCCAAATTCTTTCTTCCAAAAAATGTCTATTTCTTAATAACATAATATAAACATCACATACATAGAAACTGGTTTCAACTTAAGTGTATATAATGTGACAAAAGTATAGAAGAGTTTGTGAATTAGAGAAGGAAGAAAATTTCTTTTAGAAACCAAACATCAATCAGAAAGAATTGCAGCCTGGTTTCTTTATCTTTGAATTCCTTGAACAAGAAGAACTTGGTCTGGTGAAAAAGCCAGGCTCACAATAATAATAACTGGCTAAGAAGATTTATTAGGTGAAACAAGGAACTTTTAATCTCTAAATTCATCTACCAAATGAGCTCATCTATGCCTATTGCTTCAACTAACCTGTCTATAAAGACAATTTGTGACTCTACAGCTCCGTTCAAGTCTCTGCTATTGCCTGAGGGCCAGACTCATATTGAAAAGTGGCGAGACATGACAGATGTCCAATAGGCAACACCTTAAACTCACTGTCCAAGGGTAACGCTGTTATATTCCTATGTCCCTTCCCTGTTAAGAATATCGCCATTCACAGCCATTCAAAGTCTCCCCGGCTGGAAAGCTCAGTTAACTCCAACTTCTCCCTAGGTCCTCCCATTAAGGGTAGAGCCAACTAGTATTCATTGTGTCTTTCTTATTTCTCCAGTAGGTCCCTTATTTTCAATTCCCTCTGGCTTGGTTTAAGTTGCCTATGCTATCTTTTTTTTTTTTTTAGACAGAGTCTCTGTTGCCCAAGCTGGAGTGCAGTGGCACCATGTCAGCTCACTGCAACCTCCGCCTCCTGGGTTCAGTTGATTCTCATGCCTCAGCCTCCAGAGTCACTAGGATTACAGGAGCCCACTAGTGTACCCAGCTAATGTTTTGTACTTTTTAGTAGAGGCAGGGTATTGCCAAGTTGGCCAGCCTGGTTTTGAAGTTGGCCAGCCTGGTCTTGAATGCCTGCCCTCAGGTGATCCACCTGGTTCAGCCTCCCAAAGTGCTGGGATTACAGGCTTGAACCACCACACCCGGCCCACTTTTTTTTTTAGGCCTCTCAACTGACTTCCCCATTTCTAGAAACTTCCTAGCATTGATGCATCTCTCACACCAAAATAATTTTTCTAACACAAATCTGATTATCTGTCTCAGCTTAAAAACCTTTCTCTTATTCCTATTAATACTTCTGATTTACACTTTTTTTTTTCTTTTTTTTTTAAAGACAGTTTCACTCTGTCACCCAGGGTGGAGTGCAGCGGGATGATCTTGGGTTCATGCGATTCTACTGCCTTAGACTCCCCAGTAGCTGGAATTACAGGCGCCCGTCACCACGCCAGGCTGATTTTTGTGTTTTTAGTGAAGACCGGGTTCACCATGTTGGCCGGGTGGTCTTGAATTTCTGACCTCAAGTGATCCACCCGCTTCAGCCTCCCAAAGTGCTGGGATTATAGATGTGAGCCACCTTGCCCAGCCTAGACTTCTTATAGTATTTACCCTTCTACTGCCATGTCTTTGTTTCATGGACACATTTTGCTGGACCAAAAGTAGGTAACTATGTTTCTTAAAATGAATATATGGGCTGGGCACGGTGGCTCACATCTGTAATCCCAGCACTTTGGTAGGCTGAGGTGGGTGCATCACCTGAGCTCAGGAGTTCGAGACTAACCCAGCCAACATAGTGAAACCCCATCTCCACTAAAAACACAAAAATCAGCCAGGTGTGATGACTGGCCCCTGTAATTTCAGCTACTGGGGAGTCTAAGCAGGAGAATCACTCGAACCCAAGATGACCCCACTGCACTCCACCCTGGGTGACAGAGTGAAACTCCATCTAAAACAAAAAATAAATGTGTGTTAAATTAGAGGTTCTAAGCCCACCTGGTAAACAGAGGCAACAATGCTGACAAATAATGTTAAATTATTTTATTTCACTAAAGCTTTCAATATGGGCCAAAAATACACAAAAATTAACATAAAATGGATTAAAATCCTAAATGTTAACATCTGAAAACCAAAACTCCTAGAAAAAAACATAAGGGAAAATCTTCATGACACTGGACTGGGTGATGATTTCTTGGCTATGATACCAAAAGCACACATGCACAACAAAAACAAAAACAGACTACAGTCACGTGTCGCTTAACAACGGGACACATTCTGAGAAATGCATGTTAGTTGATTTTGTTTATCAACGAACATCAGAGTGTACTTACACAAACTCAGATGGTGTGAGTATGTATCTTTTTAAGACAAAATTTTGCTTTTGTTGCCTAGGCTGAAGTGCAATGGCACCATCGCAGCTCACCGCAACCTCTGCCTCCCAAGTTCAAGTGATTCTCCTGCCTCAGCCTTCTGAGTTGCTGGGATTACAGGCATGCGCCACCACGCCCGGCTAATTTTGTATTTTCAGTAGAGATGGAGTTTCTCCATGTTGGTCAGGCTGGTCTCAAGCTCCTGACCTCAGGTGATCCACCTGCCTCAGCCTTCCAAAGTGTTGGGATTTCAGGCGTAAGCCACCGCACCCGGCTGGTATATATGTTTTTTATTTATATATTTTTTTTACATGGAAAACCAAATGTCCCAGCACCATTACTTAATATTAGTCACTTCCTCTCATTGATCTACAATGCCATACAGCAGGTTTCCATACACAGTA